CTCCAGGTTCCTGCCCTGAGTTCCTACCTTGGGCTCACTGATGAACTGCGACCTGGGAGATGTAAACTGGATAAACCCTTTCCTCCCCAAGTTGGTAGTGGTCAGAGTGTTTTGTCAAAGCAATGGAGAAACAAACTAGGACAGTGTACGTGCACCACATATGTAAAATGCGCATGGAGACTAGAAAAGGGCATCATATCTCCTGGAGCTGGAATTATAGGCTGTTGTTAGCTACCATGTGGGTGCTGGGAATCAAACCCCGATCCTCTGCAAGAGCAGCCAGTGACTTAACCCCTGAGCCATCTTTCCAACTCCTTGATACATGTTCTTGATTTCTTGATTTTGTTTTTGTTGGTTGGTTTGGGGTTTTTTTGTTTGTTTGTTTGTTTGTTTGTTTCTTTTTGAAACGAGATTTCCCTGTAGCCCTAGTTGTCCTAGAACTCACTATATAGGCCAAACCATCCTGGATTTCACAGAGATCCACTCGCCTCTGCCTTCAAGTACTGGGACTCAAGGCATGTGCCATCATGCCCAGCTTGATACATATTCTTGACTAATCATGATATGGAGAAAACTTTAAGAATCACAAAAAAAGACCTGATTTTTCACATATTCAAATAAGGTATTAAATCTTAAAGGCCAGTCATAAAATTTTCCCTGAAGTAGGATAAATACAAGGAACATGGTTGGATCAGCGAAATTTTACCTTTCACCTCATTTTCGTTAACTTTTCTTCTTGCCAGTAGAGCACCAACATCCAGTCTTGGCTCCATGTCTGTGGCAAGCAGAACAATCACTCCCTGAAGAAAGTCACATCTCAATCTAAGAACCTGTGAATTTATTACTTTACATGACAAGCGGCTTCCTCAGATAAGATGACACATCTTCATCCATTTTGTGCTGTTATAACACAATACCTGAGACTGAGTCATTTATAAAGAAGAGAGATTTATTTCATGATGTTCTGGATGCTGGGAAACCCAGCGTTTAGGGACCTGCATCTGAGGAAAGGCTTTTTGTCTAGCTAGTTAGTTAGTTAGTTAGTTAGTTAGTTAGTTAGTTTATGGCTTTTCTATTTGTTTGGTTTTTTAAGACGG